AATCCATGTGTGAGCCTAATTCAAACAAATCATCTGTATTATAGAAATGTTTTTGAGAGAATCTGGGAAAATTAGATGTAGGCTGGGTATTAAATAAGGAATTATTAATTTTGTTGGGTGTGAAAATAGTATCATATATGTTAAAGATCTTTTCTGTTAGATTAGAGATATATCAGAAGTACTTATAGGTGAAATGGTAAAATGCTGGTGATTTGCTTTCAAACATTCCAGCATAAATAAAAATAAAAACAAAAAAACAAAAAGCAAGAGTTGGAGCGGGTTGGGAGAGACAAAACAAGAATGGCAGAAACTTGATGATTTTTGAAGCTAAGCAATGAGTACCGGGTGTTCATTTTACACTTCCACATGCTTTTGAGTGTGTTTAAAATGTTCTCCAATGAAATATTTAAGGCCAAGCTAAGGAGCGTGAACTTGACCGTGTGGCACCCTGAAACCTGTGAAGGGTTTTAGCCTGAGGGAGGCATGGGAAGGACTGTGAGAGACTCAGAAAGGTTAGCTGGTAACAGTGCATGAAATGGCTGGGAGAGGGGAGGACTCAACCTTGATGACAACGGTGGCCATGAGGATGGAAACTTTTTTGAGAATGGATAGAGGAAATAGTGGTCAACTCTTTGGCATTGACAGTACAGAAGTGAATCAAGTACGTGACAGAGAGAATTCGCTTCTTCCTCTTCAGTCAGTAGCAATTATTGTCCAGAACCACTCTGCTGGGGACTGTGAGGATGAGGGGGAGAGGGAAAAGAGATCTTCACTGAGGAGGAACTAGGTCTTCGTATTAGCCAATGTGGAAAGCCATGAGGAAACAGGGAGTTCTGGGGTTTTTCTTTTTCGTGAGAAATTTGTCTCGTGGTTTTAGTATGAAACTCTTGGGTCGAGTGACTCATTTTGCTTACCTTTCTCTATCTTCCTTGGGGAAATGATGATAATCTTTGTCAGTGATCTATCTGAATCACTTATGATATTAGATACTATTATTTATTTGTAAAATAAATTATATTACAGTTGGCTCTCGGATAACTCAGGGATTAGAGATGTCAATCCCCTGGACAGTTGAAAGTCCACAAATGGCTTTTGACTTTTCCAAAACTTTACTAATAGCCTCCTTTTGACCAGAAGCCTTATCAATAGTTGATTAACACATATTTTGTATGTTATGTGTATTATATACTGTATTCTTACAATAAAGTAAGCTAGAAAAAAGAAAATGTAAAAAAAATCATAAGAGAAAATATATTTACTATTCATTAAGTAGAAGTAGACCATCATAAAGTTCTCCATCCTTGTTGTCTTGATGTTTAGTAGGCTGAGGAGGAAGAGGAGGGGTTGGTCTTGATGTCTTAAGGGTGGCAGAAATGGAAGAAAATACATGTATAAGTGGACCCACAGGGTTCACACCCATGTTGTTGAAGGGTCAACTGTATTCATTTGTGATATTATTCATTTATGAAATTGAATGATATTTTTCTTTCTTTCTTTTTTTTTTTTTTTTTTTTTGAGACAGAGTCTCACTCTGTTGCCTGGGCTATAGTGCCGTGGCATCAGCCTAGCTCACAGCAACCTCAAACTCTTGTGCTCAAGCAGTCCTCCTGCCTCAGCCTCCCAAGTAGCTGGGACTACAGGCATGTGCCATCATGCCCAGCTAATTTTTTCTATATATTTTTAGTTGACCAATTAATTTCTTTCTATTTTTAGTAGAGACAGGGTCTTGCTCTTGCTCAGGCTGGTCTTGAACTCCTGAGCTCAAACGATCCACCTGCCTCAGCCTCCCAGAGTGCTAGGACTACAGGCATGCACCAGTAAGCCCGGCTAATTTTTTTTCTATTTTTAGGTGCCCAGATGATTTCTATTTTTTTGGTAGAGACAGAGTCTCACTCTTGCTGAGGCTGGTCTCGAACTCCTGGCCTCAAGCAATCTTCCCACCTTGGCCTCCTAGAGTGCTAAGATTACAGGCGTGAGCCACCATGCCTGGCCTCATTTGTAAAATTATTCACTTGTAAGTGAATAAAAATTTGTAAAAAATTCACTTTTATTATTCATTTGTGAAATTGAATACTTTTAAAGAATACATGTGGGGTTAATTAAATGAGTTGAATTGATATGGTCTGGGGAAATAGAAGTTGAACTATGGTCAATTAATGAAAAAGCTTTGATTTAAATGTAGAACTTCTGATTTGTCAGTAGCAAAAATATTAAAGATAAACCTCAGAGCCAATGAAAAGTAGCAGTTGTTAGAGATTAAAGAGTAATGATAGTTCTCCAGTCCTCTACAATCAAAACTAATTAATATTTCACACACAAAATATTAGTAAGAGCGAGGTACCGTGGCTCATGCTTGTAATTCCAGCAACTCTAGAGGCTGATGCAGGAGGATTCCTTAAGGCCAGGGGTGCCAGACCAGCCTGGGCAATATGGTGAGACCCTCATACACAGCTTCTCCCTCCCCGCCCCATATGTGTATGTATATATGTGTGTATGTGCGTGTGGGTGTGTGTATTTACAAGCAGATAAGCTGGGTGCAGGAGGATTGCTTGAGCTCAGGAGTTTGAAGCTGCAGTGAGCTATGATTGATTATGCCACTGGCCACTTCACTGTAGCCTGGGTGATACAGCAAGACCCTGTAGAAGGAAGGAAGGGAGGGAGGGAGGGATATTAACATATGATATAAACAGGCTTTCCACAGAATAATAGGCACCCCAGAGAATACTTTTCTGATCTCATTTTCTGTCTTCTTCTTGATTCTTATTTTTCAAGACATTACACTACAAACTGCAGTCTACAAGAATAGGACATCTCCTGTGATTAACACCCTTTCTTTTCTGTCCAGTTTAACATACTGTTTAGAGAGAGCGGGCTGAAGCTGAGGTGGGGGAACAGAGATGAGAAATGTTGCTTACTGAGTGGGAAAAACATGGAACACAATGCCTCCTTCACCGTTATCCTACATGAAGAAGGTGAGGGAACTTTGGAGATACCCTAGCAGGTCTTCTCCTTTAGCCCACCCAAGCTGGCACTTACCACCCTAGCAGTCAGCAAGAAGTGAGATTTTAGTCAGGTTTTCTGCTAGTTTGGGCCCAATTAAAGTAAAATTTCTAATTCCTAGGAGCTGTTGTTAAAAGCTCTCAGGGAGGTAAGAGGAAAAGAGGAAAATTCCTAGCTAAAAGCAGGAGAGGCGGTTTTCATTTTACTCAGGGACTAGGCTGAGCCGTTGGGTCACGGGTGGGATGGGGATAGAGGGACACCTGCTTTAAGTCTTATTATGGATGAGGTTGAACCGTCATCAGCGCTTGATGGAAATGCAGCGGCAGTGTCTCTAACAGCACTGCCTCCCTTATTGCATTATCAGAAGAGAAAGATAACCTGCGAATAGGCATCCATTATCCCTTTCTACAAAGGGATTAGTGTGGGTTGCAAGAAATTAATGGCTTTTGAGTTACCAGAGTACTACTAATGAATGTCAGGACCAGAGATGTAAAGCAGGTAAAATTGGCTTTTCTCTGCCTCATTGCTCTCCTTTTCTCTTTTGGTTTGCTATTTTAAGATCTAGATCTGCAGCCAAAAGCAGAAATCATACCCTTTGGCAGTGTGATTTGTCTTCTTTAGGGAATGACTCAATTAGTTTATGACTATCTCCAATGTGTGTCAGCAAAGAGACTGAGAAACATCTCAGAAAATAAAATCTCTACCAGGGAGAAGTGCTCCCTCTTGCATGGATGCCATTTTCATGTCTGATAAAAGTATGAGAAAGTCTCTCATGTGACAGTCGCCTTTTATTAAGTGCTGAACTGGTATATATTGCAGCTAATATTGATTAAAGATGACATTACTAGATAAACTTGTGAGGCAGAGGGGAAGGGAGAAAGGAGGAAGGGAAGGGAATTATACCTACTATGTGCTGAGTGTTGTCTTAGGAGCTTTATTTCTAATTCAACAAGTACTTATTAAGCACCTACTATGTACCAGGCATTGCTGTAGGTGTTGTGATATAAGGATGAAAAGAGAGACCTCACCCCTGCTCTCTGTGAAGCTTATAGTCCAGTATGGAAGACATACATTTTACAAAAAGAACTTTAAAATGTGTTTTATTTATTCAGCTATTTAAATAAACTATTATAGTACAGTCTGATAAGAGTCCACGATAGAGGAATAATATAGTAGGGATACCTGTTCTGACCGGGGTGTGTGTGTGCAGGAGAGTTGAGTGGCAGGGCTGGGCAAGTCAGGACGGACTCCCTTTCTGGAAGAGGGTAAGTGTGCAGTTGCTGGTTGAGGCACAGGGAAGGAGCATTGCAAGCCAAAGGAACAGCATAAGCACAGTCAGGCTCAGAGGGAAAACTGCCATCTAAGCAGAGACCTAAAAAGTGAGCTGGTCAGGTCAAGCCTGGAGAACTGGACCGAAGGCCCCTGAATGGCCTTGAGGGCCAATGGGTATGTCTGTGAGCAGCACACTTTATGCTCTCTCCTTCCCACTGACGCTCCCTGTCTTTACCAACCTGGGGAAAGATATAAGTGTCAGCAGGGAGTTAGGTCAAGTGGCAGAAGAAACATTTTCTGGTGTATCTGTTACTCTGTACAATGTTACCTAGAAACAAGGAGCCCTGGCAGGGTGTGATTGGTTCCTAGATCCACAGGGCATAGCTAGTCCCAGTTATTCCAGTATTTCTGTTTACCACACAGACCTCTGCATGTCACATGGATATTGCACACCCCATATTTACTCTTGCATTTCTAATTCCACCCCAGTTCAGTTTTTTTAGACTCAAGATGTTCCCTAAATAAATAAAGTTTTATTGGAACACAGCTAAAAATATATATATATATTTCCCCCAGTTACATCTTGCCAATTAGATACCATCTTGGAATTTTACTACTTCTATTTTACATAGTTTGAACCAGAAGGCTATCAACCTCTGATCTGCTTTGTTTCTTGTACCTACCTTCTTATAACTAATTAATACTTTGCCTCTTTTTTTTCTTTCTAGAACACAAACAGACATTCCCAAACATTCTCAAGAAGGGTTACCTGGAGATTAGGAAAGACCACGACAGTTATTGGCAAAGCTGTTATGCAGAACTTTCACCCTACAACCTAAACTTTTACAGCCTTGACAACAGTGGGAATCAAAACCTCTATGCCACGTACCAGCTTTCACACTTCCAGAGCATATCTGTTTTGGGCAATCTTGAGGCCAGGATGGTGGATACTGTTCTGTATGACAACACCCAGCTCCAGCTTAAGGCAGAGTCACCGTGGGAAGCTTTGGACTGGGGGCAGAAGCTCTGGGAAGTTGTACATGCTGCTGTGCCTGGTTACGTGGGACGGCAAGATGACCTGGCAAACTCACCTGGGCTTGGTCATCATGTTGACTGTACTCAGAATCATTGTTTACAGAAGAAATCCAATGGGCTGCAGCCACCGTCCCCAGTCCTGGATAGCCCCAAGCAGTACCAAAACATCCTTAAATCAGGGACTCTCTACAGGCTGACTGTCCAAAACAACTGGAAGGCATTTTCATTTGTGCTGAGCAGGGCCTACCTTATGGCTTTTCAGCCTGGCAAGCTAGATGAAGATCCACTGCTGAGCTACAATGTGGACGTGTGTCTAGCTGTCCAGATGGACAACCTGGATGGCTGTGACTCTTGCTTTCAAGTCATTTTCCCCCAAGATGTCCTCCGTCTCCGAGCTGAGACCCGGCAGAGGGCTCAGGAATGGATGGAGGCTCTGAAAACAGCTGCCAATGCGGCAAGGAGTTCAGATCAAAACCTGCAAGTGACATTGAGGAACAAACCCAAGGAACAGATGGGTGGGCATGAACTCAGGAAGAACAAACGACAGTCCGTGACCACCAGCTTCCTGAGCATTCTGACGACTTTGTCTTTGGAACGAGGACTCACTGCTCAGAGTTTCAAATGTGCAGGTATGAGACAAATTTTCAGCCTAAAATTCACGAAAGAATGATCCTGAATCCCACAATTGGAATTTACTTTAAAAATCTCCTCAATAGGCTAGTCACAGCTTCCTCCTGTTATAAAAAGCATCTTCCCTCCAAAGAGTTTGCTATATTAAAACATCCATCTATCCTCATACCATGCTGGTGAAGTAAATAGAAGCAGCTATGATGCACCCCATTAAGTCAAAATGCTTTGGCTGGAGCCTAACCAGACTAGAATTTAGGCTTCCTGAGTCAGCTTGGTTTCATTCTCTCTGCCTTCTTGAATTAAAGGTCACTGAATATGGATGTCACATATTGTCTCATAAGAGACATTCGGGCCCAAAACTGACTACAAACACTCCTTAGGCAAGGAAAATATCTATAGTCAGTAACTGCCATTGATCTTGACCTTGTCAGATCTTGTTAAGTTGGAATATAGAAAATCAGCCTTGACAGAAAATGTAGAGGTGGCTAACAGCAGGGTAGATGATGATTCAGCAGATGACTGCTGAGTCACCATGGGCCCCTGCCTTACCATGCAGAAGCCCGGGGCTTCTGGAACTGCTATGTAAGTATGAGACACAAAGTTGAGTTCGAGGTCAGTAATCTTATTTCTTAAAACCTTATTACTGCTTCCCTCCTCTGCTCCCTATTCTTCCCGCCTTTCCCAAGACAATAAAATTTAAAAAAATTTTAAAAACCTCACTAAACCATATCTATATATCTAAATTGAATATAAACTAAATTGAATTATTTCCTTTTCATTAAACCCCACAATTTGTAAAAATGAACTTACATGAGAATAGCTTCGATTGGAAGGCTGCTTTGGGAGTTTTTCATTCAAGTCTATTAGATTTAAATATGTTGTTTAAAAATGAACAAGAAGCTTACCACCAGCCAAAACCAAACTTTAAATTTTGTCCTTGTTCCTGTATTGAAAAAAGCCTAATAGTGGTGGCACAATGAAAGCTTATGTTTTGAATTTAGGAAAGTGATGATGATGGCCTTTTCTATTGAAAAATAATTTACCTAAAGGGGGAATTAAGTGAGTCATTACAGCTTTGACCCAAATGCTCCTCAGAGACTCTGGACCAAAAACTCTTCAGGGTGGGATTGTAGACCAGAAACACCAAGCCATTTAAGAAGCCATACTGTGTTATATACATGTATATGCAGGCGTGAAAGCCCTTGTGTTAAGTCCGCCCAGCTACTTTTGGAAAATGGTTTTGAAATAAGGAGATACTAGTTTTAGCATACTTGTTTTTGTTTGATTTTGTTGTTGTTGTTTAAAAGAAATTATTGACATTTCAGTGTCTTATACCAGCACATATATTTCAAAGTTTAGGCATTCAACAATAATTTATTAAGTGCTTACTCTGTGGATATCTTGGAATTATGGTACACTTTTGTGGCTTTAGATTGCTGATAGGGTCATCAAATCTGTTGTATAATATTATTGGAATAAGGAAGAACAACTCAGGTTAGTTCTCAAGGTAGAGACTAGAGTAGCTGAATTAAGAAACTTTATAGTAAAAGAGGGAAGAAGAGCCGCAGGTGTTACATAAGAGTTGTCACCTAATTCACTTTCCTCTCAGAAGTTTGCTTCCTAATGGCGTGTGCATTGCCCATGTTCTGTACTGCGATAGTAGCATTTATAGTACTCAGAGGACAGAGAAATATAAGGTAGAGAGTACCATTCAGCAAACCCACTGCATCCAGCAGTTAGAGAAGTGAAACTGGGAAAAAGACAAAGAAAAGTGAGTAAAAGAGTTAGGGAGAAGGAGGCCAAGTAGGAAAAAAGAAGAAAGGTATTATATAATGCCCAGGAATAGAACTTTCTGACAGTTGCTTTAGGTTCCGTGTGATGCCTCCATTTGTTGTCTAAATTTCATACTCCCTAAATTTGGCTGGTTGGAGAATAGTTTGGGGAAGGGTAGTAGTAGGGAATCCAGGGAATAGGGGTAACACAGCCTAAAACTCATTTGGTCTGCCCATGCTTTGGTTTAGAGTTCTAATTATGGGACAGAGGTACATTTCTAATTTAGGATGGAAAGAAGTCAGTCCTAATTTGTATAGTGTACCACATTCCAAAGCAAAAAAAATTGATTTCATTTAAATGCTTCTTCTTCCATCAGAAAGTGTTAAATTTAGTTGCTCTGTAGTTTATCAAGTTGTTTTTCATTCTTAATACCTGCCCGCACTTGGATATTGGTTTTCTTCCTCAGATAAGAATACTTCATCTCCTGTAGGGGGCAGAGTCTCAAAAGAAAAAGGCAAAAACTTGTTAAGCAAACCTCTGAATGTTTTTTAACTTACTTGGGAGGCTGTTCATTATATCAAAGATGATTATAGCAGATGAACTTTAAAAATTGATCTGTGTGTCTTACAAACACAGTTAATGTAAACCAGCTGCTTCTTCCTTTTGTACCTATATCCTCTAACTTTGCATCCTCATAAAAAACACACATTCAGTGAAAAGCTGGTCGCAGAGCATGTTTACCTTCCAAAATGCCAAAAAGTCTAGCACATTGTTTTTAGTGAGTTTGGGCTTTATGTATTATTTTAAAGAGAAGCTAATTCACAGTATTTCATAGTTTTAGTGTGCATCTTTAGACTGTAAGTTTTTATGTCTTAGTCCTCCCCCCCTTAAATATTTCGGATGAATAAACTTTAAAAGGGGAAGATTGTACTGGGTTGCTCTTTATTATGATGTCATTCACTTGCTATTCAGGGGAGCCACAAATATTGCCTTTTAAATCTATAAAATAGTGCAATTGGGCAATTTCATTAAATTCTTTCTGCAAGTGAAGAATTTTCTATATCCTTCTTTAAAACTTAAACAGCTCCTGCAGAAAAAATGGACCATGACCATCCAAAAATGTCTGAGGTTATGGTTTTGAGAATATATACTGATACACAATTGTATATTTCTTAAACATGTGCTTGGACTTTTGATTGTTGTAGTTAATCATATGTGATTGCTCCATGGCATCCTCTCTGGCTCCATGGTTGCCTCAAGCTTAGGAAGTCCCAGCAACTGTGGTCTTCTTGCTGTTCCTTGAAACTGTCATGGTCATGCTGGCCTCCAGGACCTTTACACTTACTGGTCCTACTGGACACTTGAAAATAAAGTTCATTCATTCTATCATTCATTGTGTGCACCTAGATGAGTCAATGCTACAAGAAAACAGATGTGGTCCTTGCCCTCATGAAACTTGTAATCTGCTAGGTAAGACAAGATGTTAATCAAAGAATCACATCAACGAATGCCAAGTGCAGCTGTGACAAGAGCTACAGAAGTGAGTCCCACGCATCGGATTAGAGAACTATTAGAGATGGTGCCAGCTAGAACAATATGAAATTCCAGATTTTTCGGTCATTTTTGAACTACAAAATCAAAAGGCAGTTGATAAAGTTGAACTTAACGTTTGACCCTGAAGTCGCAGAAGATTCTTGGGCAGAGAAGCACATGATGGGAATGGTATTTAAGAAGTTAATTTGCTGGTGTTCCAGTACAGCTTTTTAGGAACACCTCTGTAACAGAAAATGAGGTGTGCTTTTTTAGTGAAATGTCTGGTTGGAGTGTAAAATTATGTTTGGCAATGGGGAATCCGTGGTGTTAAGAAATGACTATGCAGCTTATTAAAATATTTATTATGTACCTGTAAGTGGTTCTAAATTAGGTTCTTCACAAAATGCCGAATAAATTAGATTAGAAAGCAGCAGCAGCTCTGTTTTCATTAGGAATTTGACACGTGTACCTACCTATTTACAACTGAGAGATACATGGTTTTCTTGGCACCAGCACGCACAGGTATTTTTCCTGTAATTTCCCAGCAATCAAGAAACCTAGCAATTGAGTACTGTACTCAAAGAGTCCAGGGACTTGTTTATAGGTGTGACAAGAGATGCAAAGCTCACCTTTGAAAGTGTTCCTTGTGTGACTGTTTTGTAATCTGGAAATGAAATTGGATGGCCCGCTGTGGGGCAGTGTTCCTGATTCTGAACTGAAGTTGAACATATTAACGGAAGAGATGGCAAGAAAAACAGTAGCCTAGGAGATCCCCTACACCATTTTCACACTGTCAGTTTTTATGGTTTTACTCTTTTGGCTGCTGTTTAACCTCTTGGGACTACTGTTGGTAATTACATCTCTCTGGCATTAAGAGCTTTTTGCTTTCCTTTTTTTCCCTCCAGCCCTTGGGAGGGGTAAACCCAAGGAGAAGGAGAGAAGTTTTGCTGTGAATTCTTCAGCCATTTAGTGCAAATTCCTGTAATTACCGGCATTGTGTCTTCCCTGAATGGCACATAATACAGCAGAAGCCATTCCTAATTGAGACCTTACAGGAGGTACAAATCCCCTCTTTGTTCAGCCTGACAAATTAGTGCCAGAAAGTGGCAGGGTCCGAGTGGGAATCAAAGGCAAGAAACACAAAGATGGAACTTAAGGCTACAGTAATAACCCTCTCTTGTCCTGAAGCGAAAAAAGTAATGACCAATGAAAAATGAAGTTTTTTTTGTTATAAATTCCCTTGACATGACAGCACCTCAGGGCTGCTCTATTTATTTAGCAAAAGTGATTAAATAGTAATACTACAGGGCTGCCCATTGTTTCTCCGGGTGCCCCCACCTCCCAGACCCCTGCTGCCTGGGCTAATTGATTGACAATGAACCTCTGATAAAGAAGTATGTTGTTAGGACCTGGGGTGGGGGTGGGGGGGCACTTTCTCCCTCTTTGTGTGTCTCGGGGAGAGAGAGAATTTCATTTTTGTTTGAATTGCACTCCAGTTTTTCTTTGCCCCATCCCACCCCCTCTTCTCTCCCTTGTCTTATTTTCCCCCTTGCTCCCCCCCCCCATCTTTTCAGCAGTTGCTTCCAGCTAACATTCACAAACAGGTAGAGGGGAATTAGAATTGTAGTGCAGACTTTTGACAAGTTTATCTCTGGAGCTAACTTCCTCTCTCTCCCTGCTCTTTGCAAGGTAG